CTTGGCCGGCGAGGGGGTCGATTAGGGTTGCCATATTTCTTTTTATGTGTGTATTTATATTTCGTATCTGCGACGAGGTGAACCCCCAGCACGTTCGCCAATCCGCTTTCTCTTTTAGTTTTGTGTGTCTTTCTATCTATCTGTTTCTCTGTCTCCTTCAGTTTTCTCCCCCTCCCCTCTCTCTTTCTCTTTATCTATTTGTCTTTCTGCCCCCACTCTCTCTCTCTCTATCTATCTGTGTTTCTATCTGTCTGTCTCTCTGCATCCCTCCCTCCCTCTCTCTCTCTCTCTCTCTCTCTCTCTCTCTCTCTCTCTCTCTCTCCTCTCTCTTCTCTCTCTCTCTCTCTCTCTCTCTCTCCTCTCTCTCTCTCTCTCCCTCCTTCCCTCCTTCTCTCTCTCCCCCCTTCCCTCCTCTCTTCTTTCCCCTCCTCCCCTCTCCTCTCCCTCCCTCCCTCCCTCCTCTCTCCCTCCCTCTCTCTCTCTCCCTCCTTCCTCCCTCTCTCCTCCCCCCCCTCCCTCCCTCCCTCCCTCCCTCCCTCCCTTCCTCCCTCTCTCCCTCTAACACGCAAACCCACACTCAAAAATTCAAACTGAAGTCTAAAAAAAAAGAGCAACAGCTAATACCGAGTAATCCCAAAATATTTACACACTCGTATCATCTGCCTATTAAATGGTTATCTCAAGCTTCATCAGAGATTTCAAAAAAGACGGCAACCATCCTCGTAATTGGCAAAACCATTCCATATCGCAAAGGAAATCATTAGGCCAATCTGCCGTCTCATCTTGCAAGAAGCTAAGCCATGGGAGAGCAGTCGTGGGCAGGTTCGAGGAGCTACTGGGCCTTCTAGCTAGCTTGAGGGAGAGGGAGGAGAGAGGAGGAGAGAGAGGTGGGAGGAGGAGAGGAGAGGTGGAGAAGGGAAGGAGGAGGAGGAGAGAGGTGGAGGGAGGAGGAGGAGGAGATGTGGAGAAGAAGGAGAAGGAGGAGAAGACAGAACGAGAGTGGGTGGAGGAGGAGGAGAGAAGGGGAAGGGAGATGAGAGAACGGAGAAGCAGGAGGAGGAGGAGAAAAGGCGAGGAGGAGGAGAGAGAGAGAAGAGGGAGATGGAAGAGCGGGGGGAGGAGGAGGAGGAAGAGAGGTAGAGGAGGGAGATGAGAGAACAGGGAGAAGGAGGAGGAGGAAGAAGAGGAGTCTGAGAGGAAGAGGGCGGGAGAAGGAGGAAGGGAGCGTAGGGGGAAGGAGGAGGAGGGAAGGGGAAGAAGAGAAAGGAGTCTGGGGAGGAAGAGGACGAGGAGGAGAAGGAGCGAGGGGGAGTGTGTAGGAGGAAGAATAGAAGGGAGAGGAGAAGGAACGAAGGGAGAAGCACAGAGAAGGAGGAAGGAGGGAGAAGGTGGGAGAAAGGGAGAGTGGGAGTTGCAAGAGGAGGAGGAATAAGAGGAAATGGCAGATAAGGGAGGACTAGGGAAAACGAAGAGAGGAAGAGACGAAGATAAATAGACGGAGAATCGAAGGAAGAAAGACCGCAAAACTATTAATAACCTACCCAGTTGCCAATTTCTCAAGCCCAATTGCAAATCCAAACTCACAGAAGACAACCCCGAATAATAAATGCAGACTGTGCAATCACCCTTCCCATAAGCCATACTGATCAATACTGCGTGCCTCTCAAAATGATGCAACATCACATCGCTATTTATATATCTTGCAATCTACAATTATGCTTCCTATGTTCTGCAGTGTAGCGGTAGCGTTTGTGTCTAGCAATCTTACTGACCCACGTTCGATCCCACGCGCATTTAGAGAGAGAGAGAGAGAGAGAGAGAGAGAGAGAGAGAGAGACAGAGACAGAGCGAGGAGAGAGAGAGAGAGAAAGAGGAAGAGAGAGAGAGAGAGAGAGAGACGAGAGAGAAGAGAGAGAGAGAGAGAGAGAGAGAGAGAGGGAGAGAGAGAGAGAGGGAGAGGGAGAGAGGAGGGAGAGAGAGAGGATGAGAGAGAGAGAGAGAGAGAGAGAGAGAGAGAGAGAGAGAGAGAGAGGAGAGAGAGGAGAGAGAGAGAGAGAGAGAGAGAGAGAGGAGAGAGAGAGTGAGAGAGAGAAGACAGAGAGTGAGAGAAAGAGAGAAAGAAGGACAGAGAGTGAAAGAAAGAGGGAAAGAAAGACAGAGAGTGAGAGAAAGAGAGAGATGAGAGGAAAGAGCGAACGAGAAAGAGGGAGTAAGTGAACGCTAAAGAAAGGGACAGTCAAAGAGAAACGAAAGAGAGACGAAAAAAGATGGTTACCAAGTGGATGGTAACCCCGGCCATTCATTGAACACAGGGGGTAATTTATAAGCAAAATAAAACAGACAGCATGTCACAGAAAAGAATATCCATTGTAGCAAATGGAATTCAATTAAATTACTAATTTATAAAGTATACACACTTTGTAAGTCCATACACACTAGAGTTTAACATAAAGCCAAACAGTGTAGAACAGGTCTTGATTTCTTACGATAAATCATATAAGTAAGTTTAAGAAATAAGAATTTGTTATATCTAGGACTATGTATTACTTATTATTCAATAATTATTTTCTTTTTTGCTCGTCATTTGTTATCATTTCTCTTTGTTCATTCATCATTTCCAATAACAACAGGATTCATAACAACCATTTAGCAATAACAAATGTTTATTATAAATAGAAAAACATGAAATAAAACAAATATAATAATTATGTGAAATTTAAACATTAACAAATCCACACTTCATTTTGCCGGAGCAGTCGTCACGTTAAACACTCATATATATTTACAATCAGCACATTTTACGGTATAATCATTTCTTATTTGAATGCATGTTGGAACAAAGCATACCTCTAGACATATATACACAAAAAATTACCGTATATAGCCCTAGAAGTGCCCTATCAGCATGTACCTGCAGAGAGCTCCTTACTTCGTCACCGCCCCGCAGTCACTGCCCATAACCAGAGGGCCAGAACTGTCAAAAACAGCTGATCTCTAGAAAACGGGAAACTGGACCAAATCGGGAATACTTCGTTAAACGCATTTACATGGTTAACTTTCCCGTTTTAGCAAAGTATAGTTCCGTATATATCATGCACATATACGGAACATATAACACATTCGGTTCAACATTAACTAATCTTCCGGAAATCAACATTCGGTTCAATTTTACTTAGGATTCTGCCAAGTACACAACCATAAGAACCAAACGCAAGACAGATGCTTAAGGAAAGGAACCAGAAATTCCTATGCGTGATTATAGGAGAATAAGGAAATACAATAAACAAGAAAAACAACAACGAATAAAAAGAAATAGATTAATAAGATACAAAAAAATAGTACAATAGGTATCAACTTTTCCCTTTTACGTCAACCGTGACTAAAACTCATTGTGAGATATGTGAGAAAATATATGAATGAGAATGAATATTACCACAATGCACGGTGTATAATTAACGCTCCGACATTACATTCTCACCAGAATTACATGAATGTACAAAATGTAATATCTCAACGTTAATTACATACCTCGCATTACTGAACCGTGTATTCTTATTCAAATCCTCTCTAAATTCAAACCAACCGTAATATTTGTTTATGATGTTGATTTAGCATTATCTTGCGTCATCAACGTCAGCATGGTGTGCTGATGAAGCTGAAAAGGAATGCCTTAAAAACAGCTTTAATCAAATTCGGTTTAGAGAATTGACTTTCTAAACCCGAATAGAATATAGAAGTGAATATTAAAGGGGATCTTTCGTCTATCTGTGGTACGCATATTACCTGGATTTGGTATGAGATCGAATTACATTATTGGAAGATTAATGTGGTTAGTGGTATCAAGAAGATTTTTTCTTTCATGAAGTATTAATAAACACTTGGTTTCCATGAAATATAATTCTACTGTGCCTTCTTACCTCGAATAATGAATACGCAATAATAACAATGATAATAATAACGCAGTAATGATTGTAATAACGGTAATAATAACTAAATAATAATAGTAGCAATAGGTAATAATAACTTCCAATATTTTTACCTTTTAGATAACTCCACGACTTCTTAACTCCATTTACCATGAGTACAACAACCTCATGAGCTTTCTATCATGAGATGAGTTACATTACACCTTCTTCACATAAATTAAAAATATATAAATTTTCATCACGTGTGCAAAAGCTTCACCTAAAAAAAAGCTACTACCAAAATAATAAATAATAATAAATTATGATAATGATAATAATGATAATAATAATAATAATAATAATAACAATAATAATAATGATAATAATAATAATATAATAATAATAATAATAATAAAATAATATATAATAATAATAATGATAATAAATATAATAATGATAATAAAACATACATGTTAACTAAGAAAAAAATACATAAAATACAGGATAGATACAGGATAAATTTAATAAAAGATAAAACGAAAGTGAACATATCACATTAAAATGTACATAAACCAAACAAAATCAGCAAAAGATTCAAACACATTTTATTGTTTACTCATGGTATTATAACACAATGGAAGAATTCCCAGAAACACTCGATATTGCAACTCAACATGAAAATAATATGCACGTAAAAAAAAATAATAATAATAATGAGAATAATAATAATCTGTGTCTTTAGAAATATGAAAATAATCTGTACCTAAAAAAAAAATGAAAAAAATATGTACATTTAAAAAAGAAGGAAAAAATATGAATATAATCTGTACCTTAAAAAAAAAAAAAAAAAAAAAAAAAAATATATATATATATATAATATATATATATATATATATATATATATATATATATATATATATATATATATATATATATATATATATATATATATATATATATGAAAATAATATACATTAAAAAGAAAGAAAGAAAGAGAGAAAGAAAAATATGAAAATAATTTGTATCCTAACAGCGTATAATCACAATATAGGAGATTCGATTTAAGCGCTGAAAAAATAGTGATTAACGAAAGAG